GATCAGGCCCACACTGAAATCAGGCACCGAGATCAGGCGCACTGAGATCAGAGATCATGCACACCAAGAACAGAGATCAGGCACACCGAGATCAGAGATCGGGCACACAGAGATCAGAGATCAGGCACATTGAGATCAGGCACACTGAGATCAGAGATCAGGCACAACGAGATCAGAGATCAGGCACATTGAGATCAGGCACACTGAGATCAGCGATCAGGCACACAGAGATCAGAGATCAGGCACATTGAGATCAGGCACACTGAGATCAGAGATACTGAGATCAGAGATCAGGCACAACGAGATCAGAGATACTGAGATCAGAAATCAGGCACAACGAGATCAGAGATACTGAGATCAGAGATCAGGCACATTGAGATCCGAGATCAGGCACATTGAGATCAGGCACTGAGATCAGAGATACTGAGATCAGAGATCAGGGACACTGAGATCAGGCACTGAGATCAGGCTCACACTGAGATCAGGCACACTGAGATCAGGCTCACACCGAGATCAGGCACTGAGATCAGGCACACTGAGATCAGGCTCACACTGAAATCAGGCACATTGAGATCAGGCCCATACTGAGATCAGGCACAATGAGATCAGGCACTGAGATCACGCACTGAGATCCGAGATCAGGCACTGAGATCAGGCACACTAAGATCAGAGATCAGGCACTGAGATCAGGCCCACCAAGATCGGGCACTGAGATCAGAGATCAGACCCACCAAGATCAGGCACTGAGATCAGAGATCAGGCACTGAGATCAGGCCCATCAAGATCAGGCTCTGAGATCAGAGATCAGGCACACTGAGATCAGGCTCACACTGAGATCAGGCACACTGAGATCAGGCACTGAGATCAGGCACACCGAGATCAGGCACAAAGAGATCAGGCTCACACTGAAATCAGGCACATTGAGATCAGGCCCATACTGAGATCAGGCACAATGAGATCAGGCACTGAGATCACGCACTGAGATCCGAGATCAGGCATTGAGATCAGGCACACTGAGATCAGAGATCAGGCACTGAGATCAGGCCCACCAAGATCAGGCACTGAGATCAGAGATCAGGCACACTGAGGACAGGCAAACCGAGATCAGAGATCAGGTACACTGAGATCAGACCCACTGAGATCAGGCCCACACTGAGATCAGGCCCACTGAGATCAGGCACTGAGATCAGGCACACTGAGATCAGGCCTACACTGAGATCAGGAACTGATATCAGGCCCACACTGAGATCAGGCAGTGAAGAGTGAGGCCCACACTGAGATCAGGCCCACCCTGAGATCAGGCACACTGAGATCAGAGATCAAGAACACTGAGATCAGAGATCAGGCACTGAGATCAGAGATCAGCCACACTGAGATCAGGCACACTGAGATCAGGCACTGAGATCAGGCACTGAGATCAGAGATCAGGCACTGAGATCAGGCACACTGAGTTCAGAGATCAGGCACTGAGATCAGGCACACTGAGATCAGAGATCAGGCACTGAGATCAGGCACACTGAGATCAGAGATCAAGCACTGAGATCAGGCACACTGAGATCAGGCCCACACTGAGATCAGGCCCACACTGAGATCAGGCCCACTGAGATCAGAGCTCAAGCCCACTGATATCAGAGATCGGGCACTGAGATCAGGCACAGAGATCAGGCACTGAGATCAGGCACTGAGATCAGGCACACAGAGATCAGGCACTGAGATCAGTGATCAGACACACTGAGATCAGTGATCAGGCACACTGAGATCAGTGATCAGGCACTGAGATCAGGCACACTGAGATCAGGCACACAGAGATCAGGCACACAGAGATCAGAGATCAGGCACAACGAGATCAGAGATACTGAGATCAGAGATCAGGCACATTGAGATCAGAGATCAGGCACATTGAGATCAGGCACACTGAGATCAGAGATACTGAGATCAGAGATCAGGGACACTGAGATCAGGCACTGAGATCAGGCTCACACTGAGATCAGGCACTGAGATCAGGCACACTGAGATCAGGCTCACACTGAAATCAGGCACATTGAGATCAGGCACACTGAGATCAGAGATACTGAGATCAGAGATCAGGGACACTGAGATCAGGCACTGAGATCAGGTTCACACCGAGATCAGGCACTGAGATCAGGCACACTGAGATCAGGCTCACACTGAAATCAGGCACATTGAGATCAGGCCCATACTGAGATCAGGCACAATGAGATCAGAGATCAGGCACTGAGATCAGGCCCACCAAGATCAGGCACTGAGATCAGAGATCAGGCACACTGAGGTCAGGCAAACCGAGATCAGAGATCAGGTACACTGAGATCAGGCACACTGAGATCAGGCACACTGAGATCAGGGACACTGAGATCAGGCACTGAGATCAGGCACACTGCGATCAGGCACACTGAGATCAAAGATCAGGCACACTGAGATCAGAGATACTGAGATCAGAGATCAGGCACACTGAGATCAGGCACACTGAAATCAGAGATCAGGCACACTGAGATCAAAGATCAGGCACACTGAGATCAGAGATCAGGCACATTGAGATCAGGCACACTGAGATCAGAGATACTGAGATCAGAGATCAGGGACACTGAGATCAGGCACTGAGATCAGGCTCACACTGAGATCAGGCACTGAGATCAGGCACACTGAGATCAGGCCCACACTGAAATCAGGCCCACACTGAGATCAGGCCCACTGAGATCAGGCCCACACTGAGATCAGGCCCACTGAGATCAGGCACTGAGATCAGGCCTACACTGAGATCAGGAACTGATATCAGGCCCACACTGAGATCAGGCAGTGAAGATGAGGCCCACACTGAGATCAGGTCCACCCTGAGATCAGGCACACTGAGATCAGAGATCAAGAACACTGAGATCAGAGATCAGGCACTGAGATCAGAGATCAGCCACACTGAGATCAGGCACACTGAGATCAGGCACTGAGATCAGGCACTGAGATCAGAGATCAGGCACTGAGATCAGGCACACTGAGATCAGAGATCAGGCACTGAGATCAGGCACACTGAGATCAGAGATCAGGCACTGAGATCAGAGATCAGGCACTGAGATCAGGCACACTGAGATCAGAGATCAGGCACTGAGATCAGGCACACTGAGATCAGGCACTGAGATCAGGCACTGAGATCAGGCACTGAGATCAGGCACACTGAGATCAGAGATACTGAGATCAGAGATCAGGCACACTGAGATCAGGCACACTGAGATCAAAGATCAGGCACACTGAAATCAGAGATCAGGCACACTGAGATCAAAGATCAGGCACACTGAGATCAGAGATCAGGCACACTGAGATCAGGCACACTGAGATCAGAAATCAGTCACTGAGATCAGGCAGTGAGATGAGGCACTGAGATCAGGCACACTGAGATCAAAGATCAGGCACACTGAGATCAGAGATCAGGCACATTGAGATCAGGCACACTGAGATCAGAGATACTGAGATCAGAGATCAGGGACACTGAGATCAGGCACTGAGATCAGGCTCACACTGAGATCAGGCACTGAGATCAGGCACACTGAGATCAGGCCCACACTGAAATCAGGCCCACACTGAGATCAGGCCCACTGAGATCAGGCCCACACTGAGATCAGGCCCACTGAGATCAGGCACTGAGATCAGGCCTACACTGAGATCAGGAACTGATATCAGGCCCACACTGAGATCAGGCAGTGAAGATGAGGCCCACACTGAGATCAGGTCCACCCTGAGATCAGGCACACTGAGATCAGAGATCAAGAACACTGAGATCAGAGATCAGGCACTGAGATCAGAGATCAGCCACACTGAGATCAGGCACACTGAGATCAGGCACTGAGATCAGGCACTGAGATCAGAGATCAGGCACTGAGATCAGGCACACTGAGATCAGAGATCAGGCACTGAGATCAGGCACACTGAGATCAGAGATCAGGCACTGAGATCAGAGATCAGGCACTGAGATCAGGCACACTGAGATCAGAGATCAGGCACTGAGATCAGGCACTGAGATCAGGCACACTGAGATCAGGCACACTGAGATAAGGCACTGAGATCAGAGATCAGGCACTGAGATCAGGCACTGAGATCAGAGATCAGGCACTGAGATCAGGCACACTGAGATCTGAGATCAGGCACTGAGATCAGGCACACTGAGATCAGAGATCAGGCACTGAGATCAGGCACACTGAGATAAGGCACTGAGATCTGAGATCAGGCACTGAGATAGGCACACTGAGATCTGAGATCATGCACTGAGATCAGGCCCGGATTCCCTTCCTACTGTACTTGGCTCAGTTCTGCAGTGCGCCCAAATCTCGTTGCCAAGTCAAACAATGAGAAGTTTCATTAATAATAATCCTTGTATTTGATGTAGCAATTTATCATGTCATTGAGATACGATACAATACAAAATTACGTTTGTAGAGCGCCTTTCACTCCGGGAGGATGTCCCAAGGTGATGAATAGTCAGGGATTAGGACCCGAGCAGGGTGGGGAGAAGGATCAGGAAGTTTGGGAGGGACAGAGAGGGTAGGAGGGCGGCCAAAGGCACAGTTGAAGAGGTGGGTCTGGGGGCATGCCTTGAAGGAGGCAAGGGAGGGAGCAAGGAGAAGGGAATGTGGTATGGAGTTCAAGAGGGTGGGGTCAGAGATGCTGAAGGCCGACCGCCTATGGTGGGCTGGGGTGGGCGGAGACGTCTAAAAGTGCTTCACAGGATATACTATAAAGTGCATTGACTGTATTTGTGGGCGAATGGGTACAGATGAGGTGACCTGGCTCCACGAGTAGATGTTGATTAACATTGCGCTGTGTCATCACTAATAGCCAGGACAAGCAGAGAGGTGGAGTGCCCGCCTTGACCAGGTGGTTGAGCGAGGGGATGGTTGTATTTAATCCCCGCTACTTCTGATTAATGGAAAGAGGTTTAAGGCTTCAATCCTTTCAGTAGACAGTATCTGTGTTCATTTTCTTCTGACACTCCCTAGGGGATGTGCCCTACTTGCAGCCAGGTAAAATGTTCCATGGGAGTAAATTGGATGTCAACCACATGGTGTTGGCTCTCTACAGCTCGCTGTTTGCCTATGGAGGCTGGTAAGTCTCTCTTGCAGTATTTTTTGTTTTGTTATTTTGGAGGTTTTGGGTATAACTGGTTCTATCATCTACTTCTAAAACATTTGTGGGTAACAATAAATTACAGAAGTTAGTGAATACCTAGTTTCTGATTGATTGTGGGTAATAATGTGATGAGTTTATTAGTTATTTTGTGATGTTTAAACTAGTAATTTGTGGTGAATGGTTTAACTAGTGACTGATTATATCTTCGATCAGCATTATAATTTACTGACTAGTTTGGCACTGGGTAATACAGAATAACTAGTTCCTGATGATGTCTGTGAGTAGTTATGTTTGTTTAGTGTTGTAATTATTTCACGATTGTATTTTTTTAGGAATTATCTGAACTACGTGACTGAAGAGATCATTAATCCAAAAAGGTTCAGCATGATGATGTGTTCTCAAGCTCCTCACACTCGATTTCAAATCCCTTCATCCCCTGGCACCTCCCTCTCTTTCCGACCTGCTTACTCCCTAACCCACAACCCACTGCCTCCGCTCAACTGGCTCTGGCCTCCTGCATGTCCCTCATGCCCTCCGTTCCACCATCGGTGGCTGCACTTTCAGCCACTATGCCCCGAAACTCTGGAACTCTCCTCCTCAATCTCTCCGCCTTGCCCCCCTCCTTCCCCATCTTTAGATCACGTCTGAAGATTTTCCTTTTTGACTGTGCCAACAGTCACATCCCCCTCCCCCCGACTCGGCATTGTGCTCCGCCACTGTCAAGCTCTGGGACGCTGCCCTCTGTGTGTGGGGCTTTGTGTAAATGCAAGTTGTTGTTGTTGCTATAATATCAGTCTCCAGCTCAATGAAAGTGATGATACAACTCGAGTTTTGTTTTGCAGAAACTTGCCTTTGGCCATCGTGATCTCACTGCCCACAGTGCTGGGAGTTTACCTGTTGACAAATCTTGCCTACTTCACCACACTCTCACCAGAGGAAATGGCTCAGTCTGATGCTGCTGTTGTGGTAAAATCTGGCACGGTGGCCATTTTGATTTATAATAATAATAATCCTTGCATTTGATACAGCGCTTTATCACATCTTCAAGACGTCTCAAAGCGCTTCACAGAATATACTGTAAAGTGAAATGACTGTATATTTTGTGGGCGAAATGTGGCAGCCAATTGCGCACAGCAGCGTCCCACAAACAGTTGTGATTGAGTGACCATTTTTTTAAGGGATTATTACTCAGGAAAAGTGATCCGCCAATCAACTAAGAACCAGGTTTCTACTTACTGCGAGGTAAACAGAGGTGTGTGGAGTAAGGAAACTTGTGCAACATTTTTCCCTGCCTGGGAATCAAACCCAGGTCCTCTCATTTGCAAGGCGAGTGCTCTAACCACTGAACTACAGGACTGCACTTAAAAACCTCAATCAGATCACCCTCAACCTTCTAAACTCAAGGGCAGAACATCATAAGATGCAAATGATAATCATGATCACCTGATAAAACTCATAATGTATTAGATTATCCAATATCATTAAACATAACTGGCTAACTGTGTGCTGAGTGTGTGAGCCAGGCCACTGCTGTCACGTGGGCAGTAATGATTCAGAAGGAGATATGTTTGCGATCTGGAGACAGGTTTATTGGGGTGTGATCCCGGCACAGTCCTGATTGGATTTCCAGTCACATCCTGTGTATTTTCTCAGGCATTTGGTCACCATCACCTCGGCAAGGCTGGCTGGCTCCTCTCACTCTGTGTTAGTTTGTCCTGTTTTGGAGCTGTGAATGGGTCTCTCTTCACCTCCGCACGGTAGGTCATATTCACATTTACTTTGTAAACTCCTCTCTCCTGAAAGCACTGCCATTTTATGAGCTCTGGACAACATTAGTCTCTCCTTGTGTTACAACAGCAACTTCAACACCTTGCATTTATATTGTGACTTTCACATCCCACCTGAACTCAAACGTTAGCCCAAACAGTGAGTATTGTCAGTTCATAAGACCATGGGGAGCATCTGGTGCAATGTCAACAGATACGCAACCTTCCTATAAGCTGCTGAACACCAGTCAGCAGTGAGAACCTTGGATGATTGCTCTCTCCTTTGCTCTCCTCAAAACAGTGAAGTTAATGGGACCTCTCCACTCCCAGCTCAGATCAGCTCGTCAGTACACATTGCCCTGTGTGTGTGCATGTGCCTATACACACCTATGCATTTGTATATATTTCCATATTGTACAATATGGAATAATAATCCTGGCATTTGATATCTCACCTTGTCACGTCGTTAAGACTTCTCAAAGCACTTCACAGAATATACTGTAGAGTGAATTGACTGTATAGTATTTTGTGGGTGAATATACACATTATATAGTGAATGTGCATTCATGACAATATTTACGTGCATTTAATAAAGCTTCTTTCATATGGGGAGGACACCTCAAAGCAGTGCACAGGATTTATTGTACAATGTAGTGATTATAGGTGAACACAGCAGCCAATGTTCCACAAACACATTGTGCTCACTGTACAGTCTAGTGATAGATTTGCAGACCACAAAGGAATGATTCTAATTATGTTGTGATTGATATATTCTGTGTGACAGGCTGTTTTATGTGGGAGGCTGCAGGGGCCAACTCCCAGGTGTCCTGGGGATGGTCCACACCCACTTCTTCACCCCGGTCCCATCGCTCGTCTTCACAGTAAGTTGAAGGAAGGTTCCTCAGAGGGGGGGGGGGGGGGGATGAGGGGAGGCCAAGGCTTGGGCGGAGCCCAGAAAGTGTGTGTTGGGGAAACTGCTGGAGTCTAACCAGCTAAACCCACATAGCTTGCATTGATTTTGCTGTCTGGCGGCTTTCCCACTGCTTGTCCACCAGCTAGGACCACCCTCCCCGTTAATTAGAGCTCTAGCTTGCGGGGTTAACAGGAGCTGAGGGGGCGGATTCCCTGTTCCTTGTCACCCAGATGTAAGACTAGTTTGGTTTAGTTTCTCCAGATCAGCTGTTCCTGATGATGTTCCATATGTTGATTTTGTATTGACAGTGTGCCATTTCTATGCTGTATTCCTTCTCAAACGACATATTCTCCGTAATAAACCTTTTTGGTTTCTTTAACTGGCTGTCTGTTGGCATGGTGATCACTGGCATGCTTTGGCTGCGATGGAAGAAACCAGACTTAAAAAGGCCCATAAAGGTAAAACTTCTATAAACAAACTAATGTTGTCCATAATTTCCCAAATGGATCAGTTGGTCAAGGAAGTGTTCAGTTTGCTGGGATAGTTCTACTCAAATTGTGCTTCACAGTAATAACATAATAACAATAATAATAATAATAATCCTGGCATTTGATACAGTGCCTTATCATGTCTTTGGGACGTCTCAAAGCACTTCACAGGATATACTGTAAAGTGAATTGACTGTACTTTGTGTACAAACGTGGCAGCCAATTGGGCACAGCAGTCTCCTACACACAGTCGTGGATTGAGTGATCAAATTATTATTTTTTTAAGGGGTTATTTTTTGAAGGGGTTATTACCCCCGGAAAAGTGATCCAATAATCAACCAACAACCGGGTTCCTACTCATTGTTGGTAAACAGGTGTCTGGAGTAAGGAAACCGGCCCAACGTTTTGCCCTGCTTGGGAATCGAACCCAGGTCCTCTCGCTTGCGAGGCGAGTGCTCTAACCACTGAGCTACAGGACTCCTTATCATATTATGTTTTAACTTGGTTCATTTCTTTCTGTAAAATACTGCAACAATTACAAATATTGACTCAGCAGATTCTTAACCACAGTGAACAGATTTTTCATCAAATAAATGAGTGTAAAACACCAACTATTGCTTGTGTTATCAGATCGTGGCCTTTGTCCCAGTGGTTTTCATGCTGGGATGTCTCTTCATGATCGTGGTGTCATTCTGGGCAGCGCCTATGCAGTGTCTGATTGGAGGGACAGTGGTTCTCACTGGTCTCCCCTTTTACTTCATGAATTATAAGTGGAAGAAACCATTGAGGTTCACACGTGCGATGGGTGAGTTGCCATTTTCTAAAAGAATCTCTCAAACTTCTTCAAGGCTCTTTGGCTTTGTGTCCTAACCCTCCTGAGAGCAGCCCTCGCTCTCCTCACTCAGTTGCAATCTTGCAGTCCAGGGCCCTTTCTATTTGTTTGAGATTATTTTGCCCCAGCAGTTTGTCTGGTCTAGTCTGCCCAGCTGATGGTGATAATGTCATTTCCCTTCTTCCTGTAGACAAGTTTAATTCCTTTTGTCAGAAGTTGATGTTCTGTGTTACTGAGGAAAAAAACAAGAATTTTTAGAACTTCAACTAACTTGCAATCACCATCACCATCATCATCACCACCACCATCATCATCATCACACCCCAAACCAGCTGGAGGTTAAAGCTTGAAGTTTCCTTGTGGATTTCCATTGTGTTGGTCTGTAAGAACATCAGAACAACAATTTGCTGGCGAAAGAAGAACAAGGTCCATCCAGTTCACCTTCCACCATCTTATCATGTCCCAAACTATATATTATATCCTGAGATTTTATTTCCTAACAGAAATCTATCTAATTTCGTGGAGTCCTGTAGCTCAGTGGTTAGAGCACTCGCTTCGCAAGCAAGAGACCTGGGTTCAATTCCCAGCAGGGCGAAACTTTGGGCAAGTTTCCTTACTCCACACCCCTGATAATAATCCCTCAAGAAAAAAAACACTTCAATCTACGACTGTTTGTGGGACGCTGCTGTGCACGATTGGCTGCCGCGTTTCGCCCACAAATATACAGTCAACTCACTTTACAGTCTATTCTATAAAGGCTTTGAGACGTCTAGAAGACATGAAAAGCGCAATATCAAATGCAAGGATTATTATTATTATTGTTATAATTTATTCTGTAGAGGCTGGTATTTTTGCTCTTGTAACAAACCTGGATCTTTCAACTAATTCTGTGTGATTTACAACTGAGAATTGTGCTGAGGATCCCCTGATAAGGTCACAATAAGCAACGTGTGAGGAACTTGGAAAATGTTAGAGCAAAAAAAAACACATAATTTTGGCCCATTTGTTAGTCTTTGACTGAACCTTCAGCTGCCCTCCTATCCCTCCCCTCCCTCCCCACCCACCACCTCCCCCTCCCCCCTCCCCGCCCTCTTACCCCTCCCCTCCCTCCCCACCCTCACCCCTCCCCTCCCTGCCCTCCACCCCTCCTGATCCCAACCACCAGCTCAGGTGCGGATCCCTGACCGTCCAGCATCTTGGGACGTCCTCCTAATGTGAAAGGCAACGTGTAACTGTCATTTGTTGTTGTTGTTAAGTGAACAATATCTATTTGGGTTTGTGGTGTGAGTTCCCCATTCCTACTGAGAACACACAACAATAACAAAATTATTTATGGAGCGCTTTTCACATCGGGAGGATGTCCCAAGGAGCGGGACACACGCTAGAGTAAACAAAGCATTAGTGGGTACATGTATGTTACACAAATTACAAATGCACCACATATTTGCTGGGAGATGTACAGGTATATAGTACTCCATGTGTACATATTGCTCTTTCATTGCCAGTATGGCCTTGCCTTTTATTACAGGGAAACTTTTATGAAAAGGTGTTTGTTGAAAGATTTTGGTTTGTTTACAGCCACAAGCAAGGTCACATAAACATACCCAAATGTCCCATTTGGTCACTCGCTCCTGATAATAATACTCGCGCCTAATAATAATCCCTCCAAAACCAAAAACAATAATAAATTGGTCATTTTCAATCTACGACTGTTTGTGGGACGCTGCTGTGCGCAATTGGCTGCCGCGTTCGCCCACAAATATACAGTCAATTCACTTTACAGTGTGTTCTGTGAAGCGCTTTGGGACGTCCTCCCGACGTGAAAAGCGCTATATCAAATGCAAGGATTATTGTTATTATTATATCCTGACCCCCAATCGCTGTTCCTCGTTCTACTTTCTTCCCAAACAACAGAAATTAAACATTTTCTTTTTTCTCTTGAAATTAAAATGTACTTTTACAGTTTCTGTGACTGAAATCTTAAATTTTGTGATTTTGATTTGTTCATAATAATAACAATCCTTGCATTTGATACAGCGCCTTATCACGTCTTCGAGACATTTCAAAGGGCTTCACAGGATACACTGTAAAGTGAAATGACTGCATATTTTGTGGGTGAAACGTCACAAGAAATACCACAGCCAGTGGCTGGGAATGAAGCAAAGCTCCAGTCTATAAGATCAATGTCACTGTTTACATCTAGGAAGTTTAACCAGAAAGTTTGAACGGTGTTGAATACTGTGCTGGTTCCCAGTAAAGACACTATGTGGCGCTACAGAATAGTACAACTCACACAAACCAGCCCTTCTCTTGCTTTACAGACTGCTGTGAGCATTGATTCAGTGACTAAATTGCTTCCAGCACTAAAATCCATGAGGCCCTGTCCCTGTCTTCAGTAGGAATCTCAAGGGAAGGTGTGTGAGGTCTGGGACATGCCATGTAGTGCCACCGAGTGAGTGGACAGGGAATTTATCCAACTCAGATAAGTAACTCACTACTAAATATCTCATTACTGCCCCGAATCCAAAGCTGCTGAGTTCAGCTTCCATTGACTGTTTATTTTGTGGACGGAACCCGGCAGCCAACAGCGCACAGCGGTGTCCCACAGTCATGGATTGAAGTGACCAAATTATTATTATTTTTCATTTATTTTTTGAAGGGATTATTACCCCCGGAAAAGCGATTCTCAATCAACTAACAACTGGGTTCCTAATTACTGCTGGTAAACAGAGGCGTTTGGAGTAAGGAAACTTGCCCAACGTTTTGCTCTGCCCAGGAATTGGACCCAGGTCATCTGGCTTGCGAGGCGAGGGCTGTAACCACTGAGCTACACGACTAAAATGAATAAACAGCCACATCCAAACAATTTGGTGATGGATTTGAACGCTTCTGCACCAGAGTTAAGTATGTTTGGAATATCAATAAGTCAATCAATCTTCTCTTTCCAGCGGTTACTCAGGATCCAGAAAATAAATGGGATTCTCAGACCAAGGATTTTCCCATCTACCACAGAAAAAAATCAATATATAAATCCCACGGCAATCCAAATGATTTTATTAAGAAAATTTGTACAAATTACATTTTTTTTGTGGTTTTATTTTACGCAAGAAATGTGAAACATACTCTTAGTGTCAATTATTGTACAATAACTGTATTTCCGCTGTCTAGCAGCCATGTGAGCGAATAGCTTATCCTTTCTGTGTGTTTTTTTAATTAAAAAAATTCAGGCGAAATTATACTGGCCAGCGAACAATCATTCGCATCGGGTTATTTTCTGAACACAAGGTGATGAGTTCCACTCTGTGGAGTCCTGTAGCTCAGTGATTAGAGCACTCGCTTTGCAAGTTCAATTCCAGGCAGAGGGCGAACCCTTGGGCAAGTTTCCTTACTCCACACAGAGCCTAATAATAATCCCTCCAAAACCAAAACCAATAATAAATTTGTCATTTTCAATCTACGACTGTTTGTGGGACATTGCTGTGCGCAATTGGCTGCCGCGTTCGCCCACAAATATACAGTCAATTCACTTTACAGTATATTCTGTGAAGCGCTTTGGGATGTGCTCCCGACGTGAAAAGCGCTATATCAAATGCAAGGATTATTATTATTATTATTATTATTACCCATCCAGTGCCAATTATGAGGGATTCCTTATATCTTATGAATGACAGTTTAGACAGCATTGTTTGTATGTATTTTTGTATGTTTTGCCCACAAAATACACAGTCACTCCACTTTACAGCCAATCCTGTGAAGCGCTTTGAGACGTGTCAACCGTGTGTGAAGGCGCTGTATCAAATGCAAGGATTATTATTACAAAATAGTCAGCAACATCCGTAGAAGGTGTTTCATACAGTTTCACACTCGTTGTGTCTTACTTGTGTTATATGTGCACACCCAGGATCCTACCCCTTGTGAAGGTCGCTGTATAAACGCACCGTGCATTTCCTGAGCCATGTAGATCCACGTAGTGTAGTCCAGGGCACTGCTCTTTACAGACCAGCCAAACATTGGGGGAAGGGCTCCTGTTATTTCTGCGGCCAAAGTCCTATCGTTAGGGAGGTTCGAGCTCAATGAACAGCGGGAAGTTTGCTCGATCGCGATCTCAATGGCAAGCGGTACAGTTTTAATTGGTTAAACACCTGCAGTTACTCCAGTGTACACTTTGAGCTCTCCCCAAACCTTGGTTCTGGGCAACCTGTTCCCAGTTACTGAGGGAGCAAACACATTCCATTTGACACAAACATTTGCATGTGTATTAATATGGAACTATGTGGCCTTTCACATGTCAGAGACCAGCTGAGAAAAAATCAAATGGGTGAACGCAAAATCTTTCTTTAACGAAAGGATAATTAGTGCTCTGGGAAGCTAACCCTCGTGAACAGCGCTATATAACTACGTTGTTGGTTTTGTTGTAATTAACAGCTGGAATAGATTGTCAGGAAGGATGGCTAAGGCACAGATATTTGATGTAAGAAAGAGATGGATGCTGTGGATTGTTATTGTGGGAGAATGCTATTGAGTCAAAGATTATATTGTTTGAAAGACCTTCATACTTTCTGGACAAACAAGATCGGTTTGTGGCTCATATTGGTTTGGCTGCTGATTAAAATAAGTATTTCTTTGAAGAACTAATGGAACTTAGTTTTAATTTGAAACCATCTGCAAACTTCCTGTCTCACGTTAAACCACAATAACTGTCACAAAGTGACTGCAGCCCCTTAAAGAGAGTCGTATGAAGAGAAATATGAATAACTTAGCAGAGCTGACCTTCAGATCACACGCGGTTACTGGGTGGTCTCGGGTTATTGGTCCCACGTTTACCAGCCCCAGTTGTGAAAGTGGAATTAGTTGGTGGAGCATTACATAACCACAAGACCATAAAAAAGGTGTTTACAATAAATCCTTTAATGAATTGTTTATTGTAAGAGTGAAATATTTGCACGTTAAACCACAGGCCAACCCATAGGAAACTGCTAGATGAAAATCTGAATTGCTTTTATATATAATGGCAGTTCTCAATATGAAGTTAACAGACGT